CTTTGTTAGGGCCCAGTGCTGAGGCGTGGGGACCTGGGGTCTGAATGTAGATCTGACTCAAAAACCTACATTGTTTCTGTGCTGCTAGTTTGCTGCCCTGAGAGATGAAACCCACAAACAGACATTAAAATGTGCAGACATTAAAAAAACTAGGGCTGGGGCTGTAGCTCAGTGCCAGAGTGCCTGCCTAGCTTGTGTGAGGCTTGTGTGGGTTTGATCCTTAGCGCCATATAAAAGTAAATAAAATGAAGGCATTCTGTTCATCTACCAAAAAAAAAAAAAAACCAAAACCAAAACAAAACAAAAAAAACTTACAGCAAAACTGTCATTGCCTCAGTGACCTTGTTCTTTGGTTCCTGTTAAGAATGTGAATATTCACATTTATAGGGTTTCGATTGCTTCATTTCACATTTAAATATCATGTCTCTATAATTTATTTTAGCACATAGCAGAAGCAAAGATCTAAGTCCTGATTTTTGCTTTCACAATGGTCCTTTGTCCTGACAGTGTCTGTGGACAAGTCCATCCTTTCCAGCGTGATTTGGAATGCTGCCTTTTTTCCCAGATTGATTTCTGGGAAATCAATGATGAATGACAGCTCCATACACTGTAGCCAGGTGGGGAGCTGGATTTGAGGTGGGTGGCCCCTGGCCGTCCAGCCTCAGGAGAGGGTGAGCCCAACTCGGCCACACTCCAGAGGCCATGGGGGGAGGCTGCTCTGTTCTTGCTGGAAATGGGTGCCGCGGCAGGTGATAAAGACTAAACAAGTAAGGGGCATGCGGTGCTGGGGAGGAGAGAACATGACATCTTGGAGCACCTCTGCTCCTGGGGTCACTCACACTTAGAGGAGTGTCATGTTTGTGATGCTCAGAAACCATCCTGACGCTGCCTACTGGCTCTACTGCCCCAGGAAAGTCACAACTGCCGCCCCCCCCCCCCATGTGACAGCAAAAAGGAATTCATGTTTAAGTTAAAGCCTGTTGAGGTTGCCTGCTCCACTCCACATTCCCATCCACCCATGGCTCAGTGTTCTGCTGTGGCAACGTGAGGCTGGCGGGGGGGGGGGGCACTTGGACAGCACAGTGATGGATCTTTTAAAAGGTTCCACCATTAGAGCATGGCTTTGCCTGCGCGTGTTATCTGTCATGTTTATGTTGATAGAAATAGAGGGCCCCCTCCAAGAGGCTGGAATCAGTGTCTGGGCAGAGGAGGATCATGGGAGGGTGATGGAGTGGATGGGGTCAGCGTTGGTTGTCCAGTTGTTTCTCACAGGTGGTTTCTCTGAGCTGACATTGGGCTACAAGGTGAGCTACTGGCCGAGACCTCTTAGGGCAACTTGAGGCTGTTCTTGAAAAGTGATCATTGTGGGTTTCTGGGTCATCCTGTGGAGCAGTTCTTCTCCAAGACTTTTCCTATGGAGTAAAGGTTTCAGCTGCCAAGTCTTGAGTGGCAGTGTTCAGGACTCCATTATCTGGTACCTAAAGAGCCAGAACCCAGATGCTTGCTCAGTCTCTTCCAGTAACAGTGAATTGTGGCTGGGTTCCTGTGCTGCCCATGGTGATCTAGTCTGCTGCTATAGTATGGAGAGCACTTCAAATAATTATTTTACCTAGGTCGAGGTCCTGGGTGAATCCCACAACTCCTGAACAAGTATGCCCTGTAGACGACCTGTCCTTGTGAGCATGCACTGCTGCTTTGTTCCCACCTCTGTGCCCTGCCTTTGGAGAGAAAGTCACTCATCATAGTGATCTTATAACATCTTCAAAGCTACTACATGCTGGACATTGTTCCAGGCACCTCATTTGCATATGACTTTATTGAATCCTTAGATGCTCAGACTCGAGACAGAGCTGTATCTGTAAAATCGGATTTTTAACAGAGGGTCAGTAACTTGCTCAAGGTTTCCCAGGTTTGGAGCTGGGATTCGAGCCCGACTGCAGAGAGTGCTCTAAAAACCCTGAACCCTGCTGCATATGCTGCTCTCTCCACCACTTCAGAGCTTCAGCCATCCCACAGGAGTGTGGCGTTGCCCCACCTTGTAGTTTCCAAGGCAGATACATGTCCTTGGTTACCCTGAGGTGAGTAGTTGAGCAGCAGTTTGAACTCCGATCTGCTTGGCCCAGAGCCGTTGATGGCAACTTTCCATGAATCATTGGGGTGGAAGCTGCTAGAACTTCTGATTCTCTTCTTGCCCTCTGTATCCTCCCGCTCTTGGTCTTTTCCAACTCTTGAATCCGCCCAGGGCAAGTTTTTCAACCTTAGGCCTTAGATAGGATTTAGAAGGCCACTGGGCCTCCTATGGGGACCTGGCATGAGGTGGCCAGAGAGTGGAAATGGAGCTGGTTGGGGCTCAAGTGCTGCTAGGCACATAGAAAGCATTTACTCTGTGACAACTGCTGTTTTGGCCACCAGCTTTAGGTGTAGATGGGCTAGGGAGGAACGGTCTCTTGGGCCACTCGTTCACAGAACTCAGATCCATGCACCTTGACAAAGCCCTCAATGTGAAGGAGCTGTGGATACCAAGGTGCATGACATACTGTGTACTTTGGAGTCGTGCACACCTCAGCAGACAGGTGACTAATTACTACATACCTTGCAATGTGCTGCAGGGTGGTGGGGTCAGGGAGGCCTTTACAGAAGAGGTGCCTTTTCATCGGGGCCTGGAGAATTGGTTGGTTTTCTTATTGAGACTGGAAGTGCGGGACAAGCTGAGGGAAGATGGGTTCTGGCCAGGAAATGCATGAACTAACATGCACTGGGTTATTATCTTGGGTGAGAATCTCTGTGGATAAGGCCAAGGTGGTTGAGGCACAGTTGCTCTGGAGGGTCTCTCGGGAGGCCACTAGACCTCCCTCTCTGAGCATAGGGAAAAGGTTGGGTGGTATTCAGGAGCTACGTGGAGTGACAGATGTCAGCTCATGACCATGGTGGTGGTGAACAACTCCTTCAGGGCCCTGAAGGCGGTGCAGTCCAGTACACCCCTTCTCTGAGCTCAGGCAGCAGAGGAGCATGCACTGCCACGTGCCATCTGTTGTGCTGTTGCCTGCCCTAGGCTCAGTACAGGCAGTCCATTCATGTCGACCAGGCCTGCACAGGACGTTCCACCATAGCAGACACATGGCTGACTGGGATGCCCAGCAAAGAGGGGGGTTTCTTTGTTTATAATGAAATGTCACCTATTCCAGCCTCATGATACAATTATGAGCATCTTATTCTTTTTGTCTTATGAGACTTGGGCAGCCAAGAACTACAAGGGGAAAGAAACTATAAGAAAACTTGGAATTCAAATGGGCCTTGGAGTAAGGAGCTACTCCCTAAGGTGCCCCAACATGCAGCTGCCACTTGTCCTAGGCTTCCTGGAGATAAGAGCCAGAGAGATTTTATCCTGCTTGTCTTCCAAAATATATTGTGTCTAGGGTCCCTGCCCCATGATAACATGAGAATAAGTTACTTTTTCCCCCACAGATTTATCAGTGTTTCCATTTTAATATAACTAACTCATATAGCATTATGATGAGTTCTAAAGGGCTAATGCTTCTAGCCATAGGCTGAAAGAGACACGGTCCTGACAGCACCATTCTATCTAATCTCTCCTTTGGTCCTTGCAGCACCCCAGGGAGGCAAGAGGGTAGGTACTGCTGCTCCCCTTCGTGCCTGAGAGAAGGGCTCTGAAAAGCTGAGACGCTGGTTCAAGGCTCTGATCAAGGGCCCTAGTTACCTGGTTGAGTTCAGAATGAAAATTCTTCCAGACTCGTTTATCATAGGCAAATGTGAATGTGCTTTCTTGTGGGTTAAGAATCCTCTTGTGAGAGTCCTTCCTTGGGAAGGTGCTTGAACCCAGTAGGGCTCAATAGATGTTGAGTGTGTGAATGAATGAACATGTTTAATCTGGGCCACCTCAACTCCCACAGAGCATGGCTCAGGTGGGCAGCTTGCTGTGCTCTGGCTTCAACCATTTCCTATCCTCTGCCTTTCTCCTGGGGGTGGCCCTTTTGTTTCTCAAGACTGCTTAACTCTGCTGTGGACTTACTGACCCTACTCTTCCTTTTGCCCCTCTTCTTTCTAATCTTTATTATTCTTTTCCAGAAATGTGTTTTTTTACTGTTAAAGACAATTTCAAGATGGAGAAATTTTGCAAGAGTCATACATGACTATGGTCTTGAAGTATGGTGCTGCGAATTAAATCCCTCAGTGTCTGTTGTGGCCTCGTCACCTGGGCCTGTGTGTTTTATTGGGCTTTGAAGTACACATTCTCCTGCTGGGTGCACAATTTTTGCTATGAGCTTCTAGTAGTCAGTCTTTGGAAGCTGATATAGTTCCCAGGGTCCATTAAAGGAAATAGACCAAACAGCCGTAGCTTTCCAGGAAAAATCAAAATTCCTGATTGTAGGTCTGACTGAGTGACCTGGAAGTGACCAGCACAGTGGCAACACTTGGGTTTGATGTATATGGGAGGGTGTGGTTTCTACCCAGGCAGGCTTTCTTGTGGGGGATGTTGGGAAAGTAGCTTCTGAGAGTGATCATGGCTGGGTATTGAAGACCCCAGTTGTGTTGCCCATAACTAGCTGTAGAGGGGAGCAAAGGGAAAGCCTGGTCCTTGACTAAACCTGAATGACTACATCTGTGCCATTATGGAGCCAGGGTCACTCGGTCTCCTGTCTAGGTTGATAAATAGCTTTAATAGGGAAAATCATTGTTCAAAATAGAGGCTGTCCAGGATCGGGGACTTGGGAAACATTAAGGAATCGCAAGCCAAATGTGTTCACCAAGGAAGTAGCTCTTTATTTGTTCTTATCCTGCCCTGCCCTTCCACTTCGTGTGGCTGATGGAAGTGCACAGCTGAGCCTTCTGGATCTCTAAGACTGTGCAGGAATTACTTTTGAAAGGAATAAGGAACTTTCCAGACAAGCTGTCCTAAGGGCAGATGATCCAGTGAGGTGAGGCGATGGTCTGATAGGCAAGATCTGCTGATGGACTTTGACTTTGCTTTCTTTCCTTAGATGAACTACGACAAGCCATCGTGGCCATGATGAACAGAAAGGATGAGCTGGAAGAAGAGAACAGGTACCGTGCTTCTCAGTCTGTTCTGATCTTCCTCAGGTAGAGAATTAACAGATGAAGGCAGTTTTGCTTCATTGGCAAGTGCGACTGGTGATGTTTTAGCTTCTGTCTGGCTGTGCCACCTGAGTGTCCAGTGTGGCTTACGTGCAAGCAAGGAATGAGAACCTTGAATAATGGCATCACCTTAGAACAAGAATTTGGAAGAACAGCCTTTGATTCTCTTTAAAAAAACAGCCTTTATTGAGATAAAATCCACACGCCCTACAGCTTGCCCATTGAGTATGTGCAGGCCAGCAGTTTTTAGTGTTTTCACAGATGCGTACGATCATTACCACAGTCAATTTTAGAACATTGTTATCACTTCAGAAAGAAGCCCCTGGACCATCCATTATCCCAAAGGCCCTTTGGAGTGGTCTTTATCAAGGGCCTGTGTTAGGGTCCAGGCACTAACACTGTCCGAGGGTTTGTCCAACCCAGGGATACAGAGCAGGGCGACACTTGAATTCTCTGGAGTTGGCCAGAGAATTGGTGTCTTCTCTTGTCTTCTCTTGAAGACACCCAGAAGCAAACATCTTTATTCTTCCCTTCCCTGTTGAAACAAGTGCCAGACGCCACCTGCTGTTGGCTTTTGTCTGCTGTTGGGCTTTTCTTCTGCCAGAACCTGCCTCGGCCATGGTGTGGCTGGTAGGGGCCTGCCTGCCATTAACCAGGAAGCGCCCCCACCTGGGGAGGCAACAGGCCAGTACCACTTCACAAGCTTCTTCCTCATCCTTTATGGAACATGAAAGCAAATGAGTGTGATCTGTAAAACAGAAGAGTGTTTTAAAAGGAGTCTTTACAGACGGCACCATTTTCCAACTAAAATGCACTTTCCACAAAGGCCCAAAGCCCTGGCAGGGTGTGTTTCCTTGCTCCAGCGGGAGCTGTTTGCTGGGAAGGAGCCACAGGATTTATTTTCCCTTGTGAAGAACAGAACTCGTTGTCTGTTAATTTTTTCTTCCCAGAAAAGGAAAAAAATCATAGTGTGTTGATGCCAAGGCTTCCAGGTCCAAGAGGGGAGTCTCCCCAGCTCCCCAGGAGCACAGGTCTTGAGGGAGTCAGTGAACACCGGGCTGGGCTCAGGGCCTGGCACTTTTGGCTGCACGCTGATGTTTTATGGCAATGTCCTGGATTGTGCAGGTGCACCACAGTCAGTCACTGTCGGCTAGAACTAGCCACTCGGGCATAGCGAAGGAAATGGTCTACAGAACCACGTGAGGCTTGTTTCTGGGTGGAAACTTGAGGCGAGCTACTGGTCTACTCCCTTTTTATGAGACTGGGAGTGAAAGACACACGAGAGAACATGTTTTGGAGGGGAATGTTAAGTGCCAGCCCTGCCGCAGCACAATGCTCAGCCGGAGGTCCCGAGGAAGGCCAGGCTCCCTGTGTGATGTGGGTGGTGGGCAGGGAGGCTGGACAGCTGTCATATCATCCGAGTGTATATTCTGTTTTTATGCTCCAGATATTCTTTTGGTCTCTCCTGACATCCTTTCCTTGGCTACATCTCTTACTCGCTGCGTCTGTGACAAAATGAGTCCAAATAATATCCTGCACCTTTTGGGGGTGTGTTTTTAAAAGGACTTCTCTGGGACTTGTCAAGTCCTTGCTCTGCCTTGATCCACACAGTCAGATGGCTGTCTGCTCCTGGGAAAGCGGGGACATGGGGCCTGACTGCAGATGACTGCCCTGGGCTCCTTGTAATTCTTGCTCTCAGGTGATTGGCAGTGTTTGCTATCTCCTGAAGTAAGTTTCTATGAAATAGACTTGACTTAGTTTGTGCAGAGCCCTGTGGACAGTGAATGAGTCTGGACTTGGGTCAAGAACAGTTTTCTGGGCTTGAAGAACCTGTTTGATGGCATCTGAACAGTTGGGCCCCTCTTCCTAGATCCCTGCGGAACCTGCTTGATGGCGAGATGGAACATTCGGCTGCGCTCCGGCAGGAGGTGGACACCTTGAAAAGGAAGGTGACTGAGCAGGAGGAGCGGCACACCATGAAGGTCCAGGCTTTGGCAAGGTAGGGGGGGCAAGGGTGGAGGTGAGCATGGGGGCTGTTACAGGGCCGCACACTTTTCACATGTATGCTTTAATAATAAGAAGAAAGCAACCAAAGGAGACAAAATTTATCTACGTTCACTCAATAAGTGATGTGTATGCGTATGGTTCAAAATAATGGAGGTTAAACGTTGAGTCTGTGCTCACGGGTCCCAGCCAGCTGGTGCTCTCTGGATGCCCTTGCTGTTGCCAGTTGCAGAGAGGTTCTGTGTCCCCACACGACAGCGTGTGCACATGTAGCTGGCCAGTGCCTTTCCCACTCCCCCCTCACTTCACATCTTGGGGAGGATCTGTGTTGTTGTGCCAAGGGGCTCCCATCTTCCTTATCCCGTTACTGTGTCATTATCTGATTGCACCAGAGTTAGTTTAACCAGTCTGCCAGTAGCTGAGTATTAAGGATTTTCCAATGTTGTGACTACTAATAGTGCCACAGCCAATACCCCTGTGCCTGTGCGAGTGTGTTTATTGGAAGCATTCCCAGAAGTAGACCTGCTGGTCGAGGTGCCTTTCTAGGCTGGGTGGCAGCCCCCGCTGCCCTCTCCAGGTGTTTGTTGAGCCACGCTTCTTCCACAGCAACCTGCGAGGTGGCGCTGCTGCCCAGCTATGTAGAGCACGGTAGGATCCAGGTTTTGGGTCTCTGATAATATCACAGGAGAAAAATGAGGCTGGCAGAAGATGTTTCATTTCTGTTTCTCTGGTTATGGGTATGATGGAGCCTATTTTTACTTAAGAGCCATTTTTTTTTCTGTGATGTTTATCTTATTAAAACTGTAGTGAATTAAAAAACAAAACAAAAACCCAGCTCCCTTAAAATATCATTTTGTACTGAACGTGTTTTCTGAGCTGCACCCACAACCTCCAGCCTGTCGTTTCCCAGCCTGCCTCCTTGCTTGGCTTCCTACTGCAGAAGTGGTTTTTCTGGTAACCTTTTTTATATACCTGAATGTTGTATTTCATTGAATTAATCACCATATTAAATTGACCAATTTAATATGGTCAATTTACCAGTTGGGTTGTTTCCAGTATTTCCCCCCATTTTAGGTGAGATAAGCAGTTTGTTGGTGGTTCCTCAAAAATTGCTTTTAAATTAGACCAGGAGAGAAATAGATTTCGGGGCTGTGTCGGGGCCCAGAGTCGGGTGCATTTGCAGTGGTGGCTCTTCCATCTTGGTGCTGCCAGGTTACGTAAGCAGCATTTGTATCGTTGACATGTGTCTGTCACTTTGACCTCTTATCCAAGCCCTACTCAACTAGCTTCTCCCCTTTCTTCAGGTTCTAAAATGATGTCTTGAGAATATCAGAGCCAGTTAAACGATAATCATAAATAGAGTGACTGGTGGCATTTTGTTAGCTGGTCCTTCATTTCACCTGGTCATGCTAAAACCCTGTGGCATGCTTGCAAATCAGTGTCTATAGGAAAGCCTGCAGTCTTCAGAGAGGCCGGTTCTGAATCATCAGTGACAGAAAGGATTATATTCCCTGTCATTTACTGACTTGTGTAAAGTCTTGGCTTACACTCAAGTTCCCGCTCCATTACTTGCAAATTGTGTTTCCGGGTGAACTACTTAACTTCTGCAAGTGTGTGTTTGCCCATCTATGAGATGGAGAGGGCAATCTTACCCACCCAGGCAGACTGGTTGAGGAGGGAACAGGGTGTGTAAGGTGCTGGGCGTGTGTGTTGTTGGGACCATTGTCTAAAGGGTATTTTGGAATCTGATAATTCCAGGAAAAATTTTATCCCATAAATAGGGTAGAGGAAAAACAATTTCTTGACTAGGCAGTTGTGTAATATGAAGTCTCCTCATGGGAACAATGGGTTTAAGCGACTTGAGAGTTTGTGGTTTGCAGGTAGAAGGTCATCTGTTCAACAGGTGATTATTACAGAAGGAGAGAATGGAACAAAGCAAGGTGGTCAGCAGGATGTGTAAGTTTGGAGAAGGTCAATTGCTGACAGAGTTCCACTCTGCCAGCTGTCAGAGCTTTCTGGCCGCAGGAGGAACAGCTGTTTGTTGGCAGACAGGACCTGCTGAGGTGGTGGGTGCTGGGCTGGGAGGGCTGTAGCCAGTGGGGCATCGAGTGCCAGGCTGGCAGTGAGTTTGCGCTGGCCCCACCCTGCTCTCAGGCCCACGTGTGCCCCCAGGGGCAGGTGTGACAAAGAAGGTGAACATTGAGGGTCAGACTGTGGCTCTGTTCCTTCCTAGTGGTGTGACCTTGGGAAGTTACTTAATCTCTTTTGGTTTTCTTAGTTGTAAAATGGGGATAAGAAAATTCTCTGCCTCATTGAGTTATTTCATGAATAAAACGAGAGAGACCATTTGTCAGCTCAATAAATATGCTTCCCACAAGCTCAGTAAATGTTAACTATCATCATTTTTCTTTAATATAAAAATTATGTTACTAAGAGACGTTGCCTAATCAAAAGATATATTTTAACAGCAATGGTATAGAAAGAATAGTGCAGGCTATTTTAGATTCAGAACTGTGGAGTTTATTTTGTGTAAACATTCTAATACCAAGCGTGTATTTGTGTGTTTTACAGGCTTTGAGTGTATATTGTGAGGCTGAAACATCACTGAGCAACTTCTGCATTTGATTACAGATTTCTTTTGCTAAAAATTAATGGCTTTCCTTTCATCTGTCACAGTTCGACCAAGAACGAGTTCATGTGACTAGCTCTGTGCTTTTGTGGCCCTGAGCACCTGCTAGGCCCCGATGTGGAGGCATTATAGTCAGATGCAGTTAGGATTGTGCCAGTCACATTCCCCTAAATAATTGATTGCCTTGCTTCCTGCTGAATTAAGAAAACTCAAACTATGAGGCAGATGTTCAAAGAAAGAAGATACAAGTTTACACTGAGAGGGAAGTGTCAGACTCTTATGCCACTGTGACAGGCTGCCACAGACAGGGTGATCTAGAATGGACATAAATTTACTGGGCTCATGGTTCTGAGGCTGGAAGTCCAGGATGGGAGGGGCTGCATTGGTCAGGCCCTCTGCTGAATGATGGTGTGGCGGAAGCATCACAGAGGAGACCGTGTGAGAGGGAAGAGAGCAGAAGTTGCTTCTTTTAAACAATCCCGTTCTTGTGGTGAGGACATTAATCTACTGGAGAGGGCAAAGCCCTCTTGACCTAACCACCTCCCAACATTGCATGAGGAATTAAGTTTCTAATACCTGAACTGAGGGGGGACACAAGCATTGCAGCAAGCAAATAAACATGGTGGTTGGATTGTATCGGGACATTTTCTATTTCTGCTTATTGAGATAACTATCTCCAAACTTGTTTGTTTAAAACAACAAATGCTTGTAATTCTCCTTTCTGTGAGGAATCTGGGAATGACTTGGCTTGGGCAAGAGGTGGCTGCTGGCCAAAGTTGCTGCTATCTGAAGATTTGGCTGGGACTGGAGGGACCATTCTCATGCTTACTCACGTGACTGAACAGGCTTTGGCTCCTGGCCCTATGGGCCTCTTGTTAGGGCTGTGGACAACCGTAGCCGATTCCCATAGGGCGTAGCTCAAGAGTGAGAGCATACCCAAGATGTCAGCCATCATGTTTTGATAACCTGATCTTGGAGCTCACACCAACCACTTCCACTGTATTTTCTAGTTATATAGATCAGCCCTGATGTAATGTGGGAGGGGAATACACACAAGTCAGGGGCCATCTTGAAGGCTGCCCCCATGACCATCAGATTGTAGCTACCTACGGGGACCACAGGCACTGCAGAGAAAGAACCAGCAGTTTGCATCTCTCTAGAAAGATTTATTGTAAGTACTGGCCAATGTGGGCATGGATGATAATGGCTTGCACGTGTCTGTGGTCTATAGTGTGCAGGCTGGAGATTGGGGACGCTGGTGGTACAATCACAAGGCCTGATGTCCAGAGGGCTGTTACAGAAGCAGTCTGAATTGGAAAGGCCTGAGAATTGAAAGCACCAAGGGCAGGAGAGCAGTGATGCAGCTCGAGAGAATTCGCCTTCCTGTTTGTGTGTGTGTGCGTGCGCGCGTGTATGCTGCTCGGGCCTCCGGGGAGTGCATGATGCCAGGTTCATGGCTGCAGGCCGTGTGCCCTGCTCAGTTCACCAGTGCAAATGCGAATCTCTTCTGGAAACGCCCCCAGGCTCAGAGAGATGATGTTTAAGCAGATACCTGGTTATCCTGGGATCCCTTCAAATTAACACAGATTAACCCTTATTCTACCCTGGATCTCTGTGGTGAACTCCTCCTCCTCCTCCTCCCCACTCTGTCCATGTGGTTTGATGGGGTTGACCCCGTCCTTCCCTCTACCTGCCATGCTTTGGAGGAGATTGGCTGATCCAGGCCTGGACAGTCAGTGACTCCATCCCTCAAGTTTTTGGCGACTTTTATGCCCTGTGAGAAGATCCTAACACCAAGTGGCACCAACACGGTGGAGAAATGGGGGGAGTGAAAATCAACAGGTCCTGATGATGTTGTTTGAGCTGCTGGATCCAGTCTTTCCTGAAGATGTTTTTTCCCTCTGGTATTTTTAAGTGCATTGCTTTTGTTCTTTGAGTGAGAACCAACCACAGGCTGGCTCAGTTGTAATGTTGAGTCCTGACTGAGGAGGGTTCTGGTTTGGGTGTTGGCCTGGAGCAGATTGGGTGTTCTCTGGGTCTATGTAGATTCACCCTCTCAACTGTGAACCTGCCAGATCCAGGAAGGGACTTCTTGTTGAGATTTACCAAGGGGTGGAGACGGCGTTCTTGAGAAACCTGCTGGGTTATTGGAACAGCTCTGCCCCAGGCTGCTGCTCCTGTCTCTCCTGTGGGGCCAGCTTAGCAGGGTCCTGTGGTCAGCTTTTCCCTCCTGCTGGGCGGCTCGGCACTATCAGAGGTGTGTCACGTTTTTCCCAGCCCCTCCTGAAGCCTCTGGGTCCTCTTCTCCTTAAACACTTAGGCTTGTGCTGCCTCACCCCCTCCCGAGGCTGCCTGATGTGTGGTGG